CTATTTTTATGCATTTGAGTCTGAACAAAATTCTCCTTATGTTTTCCCAACCAGGTTAATTACAGCATTAAAGGTCACTTATTATGCAAAATCCACTTTTTCATGTCTTTTATACATAAACATGTGTTCCCTCTGTGTAAAGATAATCTGAACGTGTCAGGAAAAAGGATTCGCTCACTTTTTGTCCTGATCCATTTATATAAAAACCTGTCTGAAAATGAGCTGATCAGATTTTGGCCACTTTATGATGTCATAACGATGTTTTGGGCATTAGCCAATAACCAACCAAGGTAACTCCCCCCCTTATCACCTGAATATCCTCCTAGAGCACCGTGCTATTTTTTACCAAATATCTCTCAGAGGGGCGTGGGGAGTGGCTCCTTATTTTCATCTAAAGTAACAGACAGAGAATCAGCACTTTTGAAACATGGCTGAAACAGAGGGGATTATGGGATGCTACAATGATCTGTTTGGTATTTCAGCCAAACACTTCAGAGACATGTTTTGTGTATAACTGAGAACTAACTAATATATTGATGAAAAACAGTATAGTAGGGGACCTTTAATGTGTCTCTCAGGGGTGTGGGTATCCTAGCCTCCCGGCAGACACAGTAGATTTCCACTCCGGGCTGATGGCGAGTTGCCTGTCGTTTACCTCTGTGCCATATTTAGCCTGTGGCGGCTCTGGCTGGCCTCGCTGCCACCTTGCTGCTCTGTGCCACGTGTGGGCAGGCGATAGACGGGGGCCTCTCCCATCTCCTGGGCTGCTGCTGCATGGTGGGGCTCCCCTGGGACTGGGTCATGGGCCCCGGGTGGACTGGAGAGGGAGGGGGGGCTTGTCCGCTGACTGAAGCACACTAGCGGTCTTAAGGAGCGCTGCTGAGGGGAAGTCCTGTGCTTTTGATGTAGGGACCTCAGAAAGCCTGTTTACTCAGGAGGGGGAGGGGGGTGCTGGCCCTCTGCACAAGAATGCCTGTGTCATGACGGGAGCGGCGGAGAGGAGGAATGCACTCCACAATCCCAACACTGTAGGAGCCGGGCCACAGCTGAGGTGGCAGCCATTTCTTCCTATTTATTTTAGCTCCCTCTCCACTCAATCAATGGCCCTGTCTGCGGCCCTAAGCATCCCTGGAAAAATGAGAAATGGCCTGCACTTTTATTTATGGCTTGACATTGCCAAGTGTTTGCCAGCGAAGTATCTTCACCCAATGTGGATTAAATATAGAAAGTGTGAAATTTATTTTAGAGTTAATCATTTATTTATTCAAGGGAACTTCAGAGAACATGACGGGGCCGTGCCTCACCTTTCATAGTTCAGTCCTTCACTTAATAAGTTCTGGAAAAGAGGTCTATTAATTTGACCTGGAGAGAACCCCAGTAAACTCTACTATAATCTCTAGTCTGAAGAATTATTTTCTTCCAAGAGTGCTGTTGGACAATAGCAATACGTAATTATTTAATGATAATAGAGGATTCGGGCTTGAAGACCAGAGAAGGTTAATTCCAGTGCTGAGGGTTAGGGTTAATAATAAACAAGCTTCTTGTGAGTCCATGTGACCTTTGTTTACACAATCTGGTGTGTTTGTAAATGGGCTGCTTGAACCTATGAACCCATTTTCGTTTTTGTTCCATGCCTGTAATGTCTTGCTGGCAGACTACAGGCGGAGTTTTATGGACATTACCGAATGAAAGATTAACCCCCTTGGCCTTCAGTTGCTGTTCAGTTTGAGGATCAGATTGAATATGTGCTGGCTGTAAACAAATGCAAAAGGACACCAGAGGGCTCTTCACACACACACAGTCACTGAGTCTGCTATATAATGAACTCTGATATAATGTATACATATTATGAGAAGAATTTGCACCAAGATATGCAATAGAAAACAAATAAATCAAAGTGTATTCATGAAGCCCAATATCACACATTTTACATTTGTGTCAGGGAGCTTTACAGTTTATACAGAATATGAATGCAAATACGCCACCCTTTGTCCTTAGACCCTCACATCGGACAAGAAAACACTCCCAAAGAAACCCCACAGTTAATAGGGGAAAATGAAAGAAACCTCTGGGGTCATCAAATCATATCAGTGTGTACATTTAAGCTCTCAATCTGTAGATCTACTAACTATCGTTATTACTTCATATTGCTCCCATGGAGTTCTGATTGTGTTTGTACAAAGGGCTGAAAGCCTGCACTCACATCAAAGTGACATTGTGTTCTGATTTTCTGTTGGATTTTTGTTTTTTATCCGCAGTTAACAATAATTTAAAGTGAAACACATTACATATTCACCGCAAGTACTTGTAAAATGTAATTACAAAAATTAAAGGGGACCTATCATGCAAAATGCACTTTTGTACGTCTTTTATACATGAATATGTGTCCCCGGTGTTCCAGGGAACTCACCAAGTGTCAGAAAACACAACCCTCTCTATTTTCCTCCATACCCAAATCTCTAAAAAAGGGGCTGCAACGGATCTGATAAAAACTGATCCAGATTTGAACACTGTCCTGACGTCAGGACAGTGGCGCTACGGCTATTGGGCCAACTCCACCAATCAGGAGGAGACAGCCACGGCCATTGCCATTCGAAAGCGCTGGAGACGCTGTAGTACATATGCCAGGCCTGTAAGTGGCGCTGTAGTCTGCCACAAAAGCAGCGAAGAAGACTTCCCGCCCATAGTTACCATGGTTACCCTTCTGTTTATTCTCCGCTGCAATGCAATCCCTCCCCGTCGAGGCAAGCACTGTAATTCTCTCCGGTTAGTCCACCAGCAGATGACAAACACCCACCTCTCCGCCTCTTCCAAGGAACGAGGGGAACGGGCGGCAGAGTTTCAGTTTCAGTTTCTTTCGCCGGTCAAGATGTCCATTAAAGTTTAAATCTTCCGGACAAAATTAGAAAAGTGCCGGTCAAAGGTCTTCTTTGTTATTTATTGAGCTTTAAAACAAATGAATAACGACTCTATAGGCCTATAATAATATAATAAAACCATAGACTGTATAAATAAACAAAACACGGAGGACGGAGATTTTTTTTTCTCCCCCTCTTGACTTGATCAGAGCATGGCTCCCCTCTCCTGCAGGGGGGCGTGGTCAGCTGCAGCTCACAAAATCAGCCCCGTAGACAGCAAACAGCACATAGAGCGAAATGAGGCATGGCTAAAATGCATGATCTGTTTGGTATTTTGAAAACAGAAACGTATAAATATACCTTATATAGGTATGGCCCTACAATATATCATTTAAATATAGCATGATAGGTGTCCTTTAAGCCAACACAGAAAATTGAGCTCTCCACTTAGCTGATGGAAAAATTCACAAAATAATCATATTGCAGTTTTTCTTTCAATGGAGATTTTCAGAGTTTGTTCAACTGTGTTTTTTATGATTGAGTGGCAAATGTTTAGCTTGAGTGAAGTTGTAATGAGAGAGAATGTCTCAGAAAACATTTGTAAAGCTCTGTTTAAAAGAACCCTGAGTGCACTCAAGGTTCAGTCTCAAACAAGATTTAAATGAACCAAATACAAAACTAACAACAAAAAAAAACGCGGTTGAGACCAACCAAAACAAACAGAAGGCGTAATCACAGTAAAGTAAAACACTCTCTGATGATTCATCCACGAGCCAAGATGTTCCCCACCAGCTTTTCTGGCTGCATTTACAAGCAACCGAGCTGCTAATGCCCGAAAGATTCAGCACTTTTGCCTCAATGCAGGGGAAAATTGAATCTGCAGTGTGTCTTACTGTAAAGGAAAGTGTAAAGTAAGGGATATCCGCTGCCACCTTATCACTGCTCAGAGTCCTGTACTCTCCTCAGGATTACCGAAGGGGCCAGATGAAGGATTTCATATCAGCAGTTGGAGCTTTGACAGGGATAGCCTCATCTTCTGACTTTAAGGCTAAGCAGTATTAAGAGGGGCTTGCCCTTCCATTAAAAAAAAAGAAATTAGCATTTTTTGTATGTCGGAATCAGCGCCAGTAAGTGCAGAGCTGTCAAATCTGATAATTCACTACATTTTCAAATCCAGAGGAGAGATACACTTTGAATTCAAATCTTATTTTAATGTTATGTAGCTACAGCGAATTATCTGGGACTTGTAAAAATGCCTTTAAGGAACTAGAAATGTGTGTTAATTACTGGCAATGAATCACGGTTTAAATGGCAATGATCAGCAGCGATTTTACCAAACTGTCACAGAGCTGTTATCTGTGTAAACTGAAGCCCATAGCCTCATGAGCTCAACACTCCTGAGTGTTTACCTGATCAATGCTGCTCTAACAGCCATCAGTGCTTGTACAGAATGAGTCATCGCAGAAACATTAGTTGTTAGTGTGGCACAGTACTGTGCAAGTTCATTCAAGTTCTCCATTTAATTTCTTTAAAACCATTGATTTGTGTGCACAGTGAAAAACTGAAACTAAATATTTAAATATTTGTATGTGTATTGTACCTTTTACATCATATGAAACGGAGATGTTACAAATCATTTGAGAAGATGTAAAACAAATATTTGGAGAGATGTTGAGGGATTTGTTTGCAGTCGTCAAATATAATAGAACCAGGAAAGCAGCAGATTTTCACCTCTAACACCAATGCACCTTTTTAATTCGAAAGCATTTTTTCTTTTATTCTAAAGAAGACTTGCAGCTACATGACGAACGTATTTAAATAACTCAACCATGAATAATTATACTATTTTGTGAATTTTAACAAACGTTATCTCAACATATCTAGTATACTACTACAAACTTACTTACTTATTGTCATGTAATTTATTTGTCTTTATATATATTATTATTATACAGTGGGAGCAACTCCCTATTAACCCTATTTACTTATGTGGGATCAACAAAGTATATCTGATTGTCATTAAGCATTTCAAAATAAAAGCCCCATTTCAACTGTTTGGTTCTGTTGGTTAGGTGATTTCACATCGTTTGTTCTGCTTATTCTTGCATTAACACTCCCTACCCTCTCTTGTTCCCTGACCAGAACCAGAACTGGATGTACCTGGGACTCTGGACTCTGTCGCCCGGCAGGTCAACGAGACCATCCGCCGCCGCCGAGATGCCGGGGAGGACGACTACAACATCGAAATCCTGCTGGGAGTTGACGACTCGGTGGTACGGTTTCACGGCAAGGAGCACGTGCAAAATTACCTCCTCACTCTCATGAATATCGTAAGCATCTTTCTTTTGTTTTTGTCACTAGATTTGTTTTTTTTGTTGCAGTGTAATGCAATTTGTCTACGTGCCGGATAAACAGGCAATACTTGGTACTAGATTTTCTTTTCAACAGTTTTACACTAGTGCGTTCACACTGGACTCGATGCGATTTTTGAGGGCGGCACGATTACATGTAAAGCCAATGCAAAGATGCGGATACACGCAAATCGCGTGACGTGTTCTCGCGAAAGCCAATCAGCGGAGAGGATCTCAGCCTGCCGCCACTGACGTTGAATCAGAAAACCAAAACATCAGCCGTTAGCTGTGAGCACACAGAGCTCACAGCTCCTCATATCTGTTCAGAAACTGGAGGAAAGTTATACATGTACGAAACACAGACATTTGAAATTCATAAGGCATGTTGACTGCATGTAGTGATATAACGTAAGAAGTTTAAAAGAATAAACACTGTGCAGATCCAGATATAGAGAGCCAAAAGCCTCTCTGCAGTTCCTGTATGGTTCCACTATCTTTCTCCTCTTTCTTAAATCAGTGTTTTTAAGAAAAGGCAAATGTGTTCCTGAGGATTACGCCTCATATTCCAAGATAAATGCACTGGCTTTGAGGAGTTTTAACCTGTATCTCATATCTTCGTTGAACGGGCATTTTGTGAGAATACAAAAAATGCAGCCTTAATGAAATTACCCCAGCAAAGCAGCACATACTCCCATCATCATAACTTGATTTTCCACATCCATGGAGTGCCCGATTAGCTGATTGCTTGGCCTCGAGGTTGCCTGTAAGAACCACTTACTCAAACAACTACACACTCGACACTGAACTTCTTTAAAGGTGGGGTAGGTAAGTTTGAGAAACCGGCTCGAGATACACTTTTTGTTATATTCCATGGAATGCTCTTAACATCCCGATAGCAATGAATATCTTAAGTGCTTTGACAAAAAATCCATAAAAAAATGTCATCTGTGGAAGCCGTAATACTGTAAAAAGCACGACCAATCATTTTAGCCGGCCCGGCTAAAATAACTGGATGGCCTACCTGCCTGTCAGCCTTCCATCTGTGCACAAACTTATCTCGTGCCCTCATTGGTCATGTGCGCGTTCGTGTGTGTTGGAGGAGGGGCTCTGTAAGGAAGTGGCAGATTTTTTCCGGCTGTGTATTTTCAAATTCTAGCGCACTCGAGCTGGTTTCTCCAAAATGACCTACCCCACCTTTAAGGTACTCGGAGATATACCTACCTACGGTGAAGTTGGTCACTCCAATGGGTAGTGAGGATCATGTTTGAATATATACCTACACGTATACAGAGACTCCTTCCATTTTATTTCAAATTATTTAGTTGCCGTGTGTGTGTAATATATTGTGGGCAAACTTATACAGTATCAGCATGGACCTAAAGTGGTTGGGGCAATTCAACATTTCAGAAAAACTTAATTTGATGACAGTTTAATAACTTTTTTCTGGAAAATACTTGTTTTATTAATATTGATTGACTGATGACTCAACACTCCTCTTAACCGGCCAGTAATAGTCATGTTTAGTTATCTGCAAGACTAAAAACAATCCTTACTTTAAATCTTTTTTGGCCACATTTTGGGCTCAGCGAATGGAGTGGCTAGTCGTAGAGCTTGGTTTATGTCATATACCATATGTGGTCAAATGTGGTTGTTCGGGACACACCTTCTGTGTGAAAAAATACCACCGAGGAGGTTTTGAGAGCTTTGCCAGGTGTTTATATTTCTGTGGAAAGATTTGCAGATATATACTCTGCACAAAACATCTCTGCAAGGAATGTCTTAATCTTGTCAGCCTCATAGGGAGCAGAATGACAGCAGGAAGTTGGTTGTTGATACTTTTTGAAATAACAGTCATTTACTTGAGTAACTTGAGTTGATGAGTATTGACTTAAATGTGTAAAGTTAATTGTATTGTGTTGTTTTGTTGTATTCATATAATTTGTTTTGATAGTATCATTGTGTTGGAAGTAATTCAAGTAAGGTCACCTATTATGCAAAATCCACTTTTTCATGTCTTTATACATAACCATGTGTCCCCTCTGTGTTAAGAGATTCTGAAAGTTTCAGGAAAAAGGATTCTCTCTCTTTTTGTCCTGATCCATTTATATAAAAACCTGTCTGAAAATGAGCTGATCAGATTTTGGCCACTTTATGATGTCATAACGATGTTTTGGGCATTAGCCAATAACCAACCAAGGTAACTCCCCCCCCTTATCACCTGAATATCCTCCTAGAGCACCGTGCTATTTTTTACCAAATATCTCTCAGAGGGGCGTGGGGAGTGGCTCCTTATTTTCATCTAAAGTAACAGACACAGAATCAGCACTTTTGAAACAGGGCTGAAACAGAGGGGATTATGGGATGCTACAATTATCTGTTTGGTATTTCGAGCCAAACACTTCAGAGACATGTTTTGTATATCTCTGAGACCTATAATATATTGATGAAAAACTGTATAATAGGAGACCTTTAAGTACAGTGTTATCAGCTAAATGTACTTTACATCTCAAATTCTAAAGTTAGTACTTGTTGCAGAATGGACCTTTTCATAGTATTATAATATTATGTTTATTATATTATCCTGTTTATATACATAAAGCAGCATTTTAGTGTTGTAGTCGGTCAATGTGAAGCAATTGAGATAAGAAAAAAAAAGACACGTAATACTGTGTAGATTTGAAGTACAATACTGCATTATACCATATCAGAATATATGTGTTTTCTACAGAGTAAGTAGGAGTCAAAAATATGATGTTTTGCCTAAAGGTACTGAGTAGAAAAAGTAATTGGAAATACCCAAGTTAATAACAAATATGTCAAAATAGTACTAAAGTAAAATACTTAGTATGTACTTATAAATGTCTAAATAAATCAACAGAACATGGAGTCTGTCCCTGTGTTCTTCTGAAGGGAGTGGGACACATATCCAAAACTGGAGCCAACTCCAACAACCTGATTCTCTGGAGCCAGATTTTTCTCTCAGTACCGTAATGTGAATATTGAACGTCATTCTTTGAGGAATAAAGTAGTTCTTCTACCAAGTGGCATCAGGGGTTTTGTAATGATTGTTTTGACCGACAGGGAGCTAGTGGAGGTTCTGGAGGATAGGGGTGATGTGTTTACAAGAGCCGGTGTGGGCGAGCAGATGGGTGGCCTTGGATGTACTGTAGTTTATTGAGAAGATGGTGTACCGTAGAGGATGCTGTTGCAGTAGTCGATTTGTGATGATTCCAAGGTTGTGTACAAGTGGGGAGGGAGAAGGAGTGGAGTTATTGATGGTGAAGTAGAAGTTGTTATTGGTTTTGGTGAGAGATTTTGGACCGATGATGAGCATGTCAGATGATCTCATGGTTTACTTTGAGGAAGTTCAAGGTTCAAGGTTCTTTATTGTCAATCTGACATAGCTACAGAGTAATTATGCAGTTGAAAATCTTATGTCACAGGCTTCTCCAACAATGCAACATAATAACATAACATAATAACAATAAGAGCATGAGCAATACAAAAATAATAATAGTTATAAAAATGAAATAAAGTTATGATGTGGAATAGTGCAGTATGAGTCTATATACAAGTTATTGGAATGATATATATATATATTAGGTATTAGATACATACTACTGAGTAGCAGTTGAATGTTTGATGTTGTTTCAACAGTTCAATTTTTTAACAGTCTCACTGCCCGCGGGAAGAAACTGTCTCCGAATCTTCTTGTCCTTGCCAGGATGCTGCGGTAACGTCTGCCAGACGGCAACAGAAAGAACAGTTTGTGGCTGGGGTGATGGGGGTCTTTGATAATCCGTAGTGATTTCTTCCTGAGCCGCTGGGAGTAAAGGTCCTCCATGGATGGCAGCTCCGTCCTGGTGATGTGCTGTGCAGTTTTCACCACCCTCTGTAAAGCCTTACGATCGAGGTCGGTGCAGCTGCCGTACCAGGCCGTCATGCTGCCAGTCAGGATACTCTCTATCGTGCACCTGTAGAAGTTGCAGAGTATCCTGGAATCCATTTTGAACCTCCTCAACCTGCGGAGGAAGAAGAGCCGCTGTCGAGCTTTCTTGGTGATGGTGGTGGTGTGAAGAGACCATGTCAGGTCCTCAGTGATGTGGACCCCAAGGAACCTGAAGCTTTTGACTCTCTCCACCGTAGTCCCATTGATGGCGATGGGGGCGTGTCCCTCTCCCTGCTGCTTCCTGTAGTCCACAATCAGCTCCTTTGTTTTGCTGATGTTGAGATGGAGGCTGAGCACGCAGCCTTGAGGGGCACCGGTGTTGAGAATCAGGGTGGAGGATGTGATATTTCCCACCCGCACTGCCTGGGGTCTGCCCGTCAGGAAGTTCAGGATCCAGTCACAGAGGGCGCTGTTGAGCCCGAGGTCTCTGAGCTTGATGGCCAGCTTGGAGGGCACAATGGTGTTGAATGCTGAACTGTAGTCAATGAACAGCATTCTCACATATGTGTTCCTGTTCTTCGGGTCCAGGTGTGAGAGGGCAGTGTGGAGGGTGAGGGCTATGGCGTCGTCTGTGGACCTGTTTGCTCTGTAGGCAAACTGCAGGGGGTCCAGAGATTCAGGGAGGGAGGAGGTGATGAATAATTTGACTAACCGCTCAAAGCACTTCATTATGATGGAGGTGAGTGCTACTGGGCGGTAGTCGTTGGGGCAGGTGATGATTGTCTTTTTGGGGACAGGAATGATGGTGGAGTGTTTAAAACATGTGGGGACTACAGACTGCAGCAGGGACCTGTTGAAGATGTCTGTGAACACCTCTGCCAGCTGAACTGCACACACCCTGAGAACACGGCCAGGGATGCCATCAGGTCCAGGAGCCTTGTGTGGGTTAACCCTTTTAAAGGATTTACACACATCTGCCCTATTTAAAACAAAAGGGCAGTGTAGCTCCTGGTCCCTCTGTACCTCCACAGCCTGGCTGCTCTCAAAGCGTGCAAAAAAAACTGTTTAGCTCATCTGGGAGAGATGCGCA